GTTTGCTAGACAGTTGAGAGACGTTAAGCCCCTATCTACTTGACAACCATTGAAAAAAAAAATTTGAGTTTTGAATAGTGATTTTTAGGAGAATGTGTAATTAAAGAATATGGAAAATTTTGGATTTTCGTGCAGAATATTTTATTGTGTGAATGTGTAGTTGAAAATAAGTATGTAAAAAAAAAATTTGAAACTAATGATTATCAAACAAGGGCTAAAAATTGTCGGGGTTTGGCTCAGATTTCATATGGTAAATTCTAGAGACATGCTCTATAATTTTTTAGTCTTTTTCTTCAATTTGAGGCACTCTTTAATATTGGATCGTAAAACCTATCTAACGGAACGATTTACAAGAATTAGAAAGTTCGAAAACTTTCTCAATTGTTTATTGTAAAAGGCAATGCTTTGACTCAAATTGGAGAAGTTAAAAGAGTTAAAAAGGTTGATATTTTTAGACTTAAACTCAAGTCTTAATAACTTTTATCTTGCCTTGCTAAATTTCAGAATAAGCCAAAAGAAGTTTTGGAAGAAAAATCTGGACAGATCAAAACTTTTCTTGTCTTATTGAAAATCATGCTTACATGTGACATTAAAGGCAAAGATTACATGAATTGAAGTTAAAATTCTTATCCCTGTTTGGTGGAAATTAAAATTAAGATTTTAATTTAAGTTAAAATAAACAATTAATTTTAATCATAATATTCATGAGATCCACAATTTTTCAATCACACATTTCATCAACTTTTATTAAAAACTACTAAAAATTAAAATAGTAGAATCAGAATCAAATCAGACCAAACCAGAATCGAAATAGTTCAGTTCCGATTTGATTTCATATATATATATATTTTTTTTAAAAATTGCTGGTTTCATTATATAAAAAAAATCACCAGCTCAAAAACTACGTTTTACAATTTTGTGTGATTTCAATTTTTATTTCAAAAGGCTTTTTATGTGATACTCTTACAAGCAAAGATTACCTGAATAAAATTGAACAGATTGATTGGCCAATCATTTTCATAAGTGCACAGGACAGATTGATTTGCCAATCATTTTCAGGAGTCGCCCCCACACGCCCGCAAATGGCACGAGTCGAGTGGGAAAAAGTCAAGAGAGATTCCATAAAAGATAACAGACACGAACATCGATTGTATCGCTAACTTTGATTATTATTTTTCCACACGTTTTTATGACTAAACCATTGTTTTAAAAAAAAAAAAAGTTGGGCACGTTTTGGGGTGTTCCAAAAAAGGATTGGACCAACCCACACGTTTTTATGACTAAACCATTGTTCCAAAAAAGTTGGGCAAGTTTTGGGGCTTTACAATCTCCACTCCTTGATATATTTTCATCCTAAAAAATATAGCTCATTAGTTTTGTCTATTAGAGAATTAAAAAACATAATTGATAATTATATGAAATCAAGACCCTAGGCTCATCTCATATTGCTTAATCCCTACAACTTGTTTTCAATAGTTGATTTAGTCAAACTTTCACATTAACTTTAGTTAAAAATATTGATTATAAAATTCAATTTTCTAGATAAAACAAATGTTATTTGATTATAGTACTTAGTAAGGATTTGATTATAATATAGCAACTTCTATATGCATTTTTATCTATCCTTCCACATATTCATACTTTGATATTACACAGGTTAGTTTGATTTCAAATCAGCAATCGTTGTTAGTGCGATTGCTTTCGTTTCACCCGCCGAAGTTTGAACAAATTTGTCATTGCTACCGCCGTTATTCTGGTAGGAACGCGTCGGAATCGTACTTGATTTGACGTGAGTGGGCTCGATATCTGTTGGCTCAATCGTTTCTCTCTCTCTCTCCTCCTTCCCTTCTCCTATTCTCCCATTCTCCTCCCTGTCGGAGCGTCGAGAGCAGCGTTCGACGCTGCTGTGAATCATAGTAGAGTCGCGACGCCGGCAGCAGCGTCGCGACTCTTCCAGCGTGGCGGATCTGAGCTGTTGGTGGCTGTTGTAGCTGGTGGGAGGGTGAATTTTCTGTGGGTGTGGCTGATGGGTGGGTGGATTTGCTGTAGGTGTGGCTGTGAACGAGGCTTGTGGTTGTTGCAGCTGTGGATGTAGCTGTAGGAAGTTGTGCGGTGGATCTGTTGTGGCAATGGTTGTGT